GTCCTTTCCCATGACCTAAAGCTCGTGGGTCCCCTCCCCGTCCCCTGTGCTTGGGAAGACAGGTCCAGCTTTAACTCGTGACTTCGTATCCACGTGCTTCCTCACAAGTCAGTGTCTTCATTATTAAAAGCTGGAAGCAAGGAAGAGATACCTTGTGAAATGGCGTCGTTTATGAACACGTTGCCACTGCAGTTTTCATGTTGCCTTCGTCAGTACAGGTTAGGGACACTGGTGGGCGGTTTTCCTTGTTTCTCATGGCAGCTTCCCTAGAAGTAATTGGTGCTGGGGTCATAGGAAGAACAGGCTCAACCTGAGAAATGGGGCCCGCGGCCCAACCTGTGCCAGCCGGTCAGATTTGAGTAAGGTGAAACCATCAGCATCTGCCTAGGGACAGATGGCAGGTGACAGGGCGGGAAGAAGCTGGGCCTCTCCACTCGACGTCACTCTGTTTGAGCCGTGGACGGCTTCACTTTTCAAAAGTGACAGCTTTGCTCTGTGGCTGTGAGGCACAATTTAGAAGCGTGTGGAAGCCCTTTGTAATGGGGATCCTGTCAGTGTGGAGTCCGTCCCTGAAACTGGCCACAGGGGCCAGATTTCTGTGGCTCTGCTATGGACATTTCCTGGGACACAGATGCAACTTCTTGTGCTTGAATCGTGTTTCTACATTCACGAGATGCCGCCCTCCTGCTGGGTAGGAGGTGTCCCCCTGAGAACAGGGACCAGGAGTCAGTGGGCCCTCGGTGCTAAGCACGGAGAGGCTGCTCAGTCCGCGGGGAGCAAGCCGGGCCCAGCTGGGCAGCGGTGTCCACTTCTCGGTGTGGTCAGGACCAGGAGTGTGAGGGGTCACATGGGACCCGTTGCGTTTAGAGAAGTAAATGCACCTAACGCACCATGTGACGACTTGCCCTCAGACACTCTCCTGAGACGTGACTTGGCTGCTTGAGAACACCGTTTATTCTCGTGTCCTTGGTCCCCGGCACCCTACCGAGCACGTAAGGGGCACACGAGTGTGCCTCCGAGGGGACGGAGTGTCGTGGAAGTCAGTACATTTGTCATCTGTGAAGTCCTTGTGGCTTAGTGGAGAGAGGCCCGAAGGCGTCCAGATGTCTAACTCAGTGAAGTTAGTAACTTTTAAAGCACGTTCGTTTTCTCATTGAAAGAAGACAAAAAAGAATTCAAGGACTCAGTTTTTCCAGGTCAGGAATACAGCGAGAACAGCTAGCGTTATTTTTAGTGGACTTCTGTTTCCGGTGAATGTCAGGATTGAAGTCCTTGGAATTTTTTCTTTTTAATGAGAAATTTTTTGTGAAACACATTTGAATGAAGATTGAAGTATTCTGTTATTGGAAAAATATTTGTTTTTTCCCCCCACTAAAGTCTCAGTTTTCATTGTACAGAATTTTAATTGGTATGAAATTTTTTTCTGTTTATGGGAGGGAAAAAGGCACTCCTTGATTAAATTAATAATTTGGATGGTGATGAGGGAGGGGCATCATGTCGATGGGTCCCTTTAATTACACGTGGCCTTGTCCTTGTGTCCCCTTTGCTGATAATTCACACGGCCCCATCTTCCCAATCTCCCATGTGCAAAGAGCACAGAAATGTCCGTGGCAAGGACGGCGACCACGTCGTTGGTAGAACGCGCTCTCCGTGAAGAACTGGCTTCGTGTTGAGGCGCCGCCTTTGTGGCAGTGTGACAGTGGCTCTGTTGCAGAGAAGGGGGTGTCGAGTCGTGGTTTTCAGGCATCAGAGAGATTGTGGGAGTTTGAATGCCCATGTGGACTGCAGGACAGATGTCAGAATCCTCTGGAAGAGAGAGGGCTTCACATGCAGGGTGGGGGTCCTGGGACGGGGCGGGTGGGGTGTGAGTTCACTTGTTGGGCGAGGTGCTGGGG